CACATGCGCCCGCCACAACACCCGGCTATTTTTTGGTTGCAGCCGTCATTGTTGTTTGGCAGGCCTGGGCTGGATTAGAACCCACCACCTTAGGTGTATGAGGCTGGCGCCTTAGCCACTTGAGCCACAGGTGCCAAGCCATGATATTTAGTTTATAAAAAGTCCCACAGTTTTTTTTCCTTAGAGACTTTAACCAAATAAAATTGTTTTTTCCAAAATATTTGAAAATGCAAACCATCAAAGAATTTAGATTATGAGATGAAATCCACATCCTTACTACCTGGGCTGAATCCACGCTATACCACTTACTAGTTATATCTAACTTTGGTCAAATTAAATTCTATACTTCAATATTCTTGCCTCCAAAATGTGGTAGTAGTATATATTCAAGGTTATGATGATTTATAACTTAACACAAACTCAGAATTTAACAGTGGTGGACACACAGTATTAGATTACTTCCATAGAGAGAAATGCAGATCCTATCTTTTTCCCTACCGAATGAGAATGATATTACATCATGTCTAACCCAAAAAGTTCACATAGAAAGCACTGGTAATTTCCTAGACCCCGATCAGTTCTTAGCCTATTCTCTCAAATTGTTTGCTAGTTACTATACAGTGTATATTTCTTTTTGGAGACAGAGTCTCAAGCTATTGCCCTGGGTAGTGCCATTGACATCACAGCTCATAGCAACCTCAAACTCTCGGCTTAAGCCATTCTCTTGCCTGAGCCTCCCAAGTAGCTGAGATTACAGGCGCCCACCACAACGCCTGGCTATTTGTTATTGTTTTTGTAATTGTCATCGTTTTAGCTGGCTCAGGCTGGGTTCAATCACACCAGCCTTGGGGTATGTCGTCAGTGCCCTACCTACTGGGCTATGGTCACCGCCCATGTATTTCATTAATAATATATAACAAGGCTCAGCATCTGTGGCTCAAGTGGCTAATGCACCAGCCACATACACCTACGGTGGTCGGTTCGAATCCAGTCCAGGCCCGCTGAACAACAATGAAGGCTGCAACCAAAAAAATAGCCGGGTGTTGTGGCAGGCGCCTGTGGTCCCAGCTACCTGGGAGGCTAAGGCAGGAGACTCACTTGAGCCCAGGAGTTGGGAGTTTTCTGTCAGCTGTGATGCCATGGCACTCTACCCAGGGGGACAGCTTAAGGCTCTGTCTCAAAAAAAAAAAAAAAAAAAAAAAGCCTAACGTCTGAGTGAACAGTATTTTAGGGATGAGAAAATGGGCTCAAAAGTGTGGCAAGCACCAGCCCCACAAAGTAACACAGAACAAGAAGGGCAAGGACTCTATGCCCAGGGAAAGCAGCATTATGATAGGAAGCAGAGCGGCTATGGTGGGCAGACTACACTTATTTTCCAGAAAAAGGCTAAAACTACAAAGAAGATTGTGCTGAGGCTTGTGTGTGTGGAATCCAACTGCAGATCTAAGAGAATGCTAGCTATTAAGAGATACAAGCGGCTCAGCGCCTGTAGCTCAACCGGCTAAGGCGCCAGCCACGTACACCTAAGGTGGCAGGTTCGAATCCAGCCCGGACCCACCAGGCAACAATGACGGCTGCAACCAAAAAATAGCCGGGCGTTGGGGCAGGCGCCTGGAGGCAGGAGACTTGCTTGAGCCCAGGAGTTGGAGGTTGCTGTGAGCTGTGATGCCACAGCACTCTGCCCAGGGGAACAGCTTGAGGCTCTGTCTCGAAAAAAAAAAAAAAAAAAAAAAAGAGAGAGATACAAGCATTCTGAACTGGGAGGAGATAAGAAGAGAAAGGGTCAATTGATACAGTTCTAATTATCTTTTGTTTTATCATGAAGACAATAAAATCTTGAGATTATGTTCACTTCATCTGGCTGCAGCTGGTCTTTGGGGAGGGAATAAATGAGAGCCATCAATAAAATTATCCTGGGGGGAAGAAAAAAAAACCTGACTACAGTGCCTGCTCACAAACACAGTTATAGCTTTGAACTCCTGGCCTGGCATGATCCTTCTGTCTCAGCCTCCCAAGAAGCAGGGTCTATAGGCACACACAACTGTGTCCAGCTTATTTCTGCATGCTCCTACAGGATCTATGGTTATTTCTAATCACGCAATGATATTATCTGTCTCTAGACCTTGAGTCCCTCAAGATGTATGTATTATTTTTTTTACCTCCCCACCCATAAGAACATAACCCATAAAATGTAGAATAAATCAAACTGGACCTATAATGAACAACTTCCACACACTGAGAGCAGCCGAGTACAAACAGCTCTCATACATATTGAGTGCATGAATAAATCTTACAACTATTTTTCTAAAAACCCAATCCTCTTCTATATCATCTTGAGACAGAACCTCAAACTATCGCCCTGGGTAGAATACCATGGCATCACAACTCACAGCAACTTCCATCTCCTGGGCTTAAGCGATACTTTTGCCTCAGCCTCCAGAATAGCTGGGACTACAGGTGCCTGCCACAAAGCCCAGCCATTTTTCGGTTGTAGTTGTCATCAGCTGGCAGGCCCGGGCCAGATTCAAACCCACCAACTCCGGCATATGTGGCTGGCGCCTTAGCCACTTGGGCTACAGGTGCCACCTTGGAGTTCACTTTAGATTTCACTCTTTTGGCCTAAAGGAAAGGGGCAAGTATGTGATTTACTCTAGTACCACAGCACTGAATACGCCTTCAAATCTCATTCTAATTCTCCCCCAGCTTGAAATCGTAGTACTACATCAACTCTACAATGATTACCAAAACATTCCACTATAGTATGTATACTACAGATTGCTCAAAATTCTCAACTCTGGCTATCCATGTCCTTACTAATTTCCACATTATTCCTTATCATCCTTGGGAAAAACATTAGATTCCCCAATATCTAGTTGGGCCATGTTACCATTATAAAAAGGGTGAGCACTAGATTGTTCTTAATTTAGATACAGAGGTTAGACAGATTTCCCTGCTTTGGCGTTAATAAAACTAGCTTTTCCCAAATTTTTAAAGATTTTCCAGTGAGAAAGCATTTTATTGTAGCGTATTTCTTGTAGTTTGATTCATGCTAAATTTTAGTCATTTTGTTTAGACATACAAAAATGTCAGAAACCTAAAGATTATGCTCTAGATGACAAAAAATTTGCAATGATCTAAGGGACTAACATCCTTATATTGTTGCTAATCATGAAAACAAGGCATTTTCATTTAGAGTAGAACTTTGGCTGCTTGTTCCAAATATCAAAAATCCTCTTCTCAAAGCAGCCCCAGTTAACTATAAACTCTTATTATTCCATTAGTTTACAAATAATTGAGGTGGTCTCCCCTATGAAACATCTTGAAATTTACACACAAAAGGCTTAATCCAAACACCTCCAAAGGCTATGACCTACACCAGATCAACTGAATTTAAATGTGTTGACTTCCTATCTCTGTAATGAATCCAAGTGGACCTCACACCTCTTACCATCACCCAGGAAGGGTGTGCATCTGTTCCGAAGGCCCCCCTGGCTCCAGGTCATCCTGGCTGCTGCTGCTCCAGGCTGGGCATCCATGTTGCTGCAGCTTGTGGTTTGTGAAGGGTTGTGTACAGGAAAAGCAGGATGGGATTTCAAGGGAAACAGGAGAAAGATGGCTTTCCGGGAAAAGGCCATCACTATCATAGGTCTTAAGTAGTACCACACACATTTTATTGCAGCACAGTTTAAAAATTTAACAAATGAAAGATTAAAAATAAAAAAACAAAAAAAAAAATTAAAAATACAGACGTCCAGAGATGCTCTAAAACAGTTAAGTTAAAGATTAGGAAAAATAAGGTCATAGACTTAACAAGCCAATAAAATTCTTTCCAGTGTGGGGAAGGGGATGAGGGCAGGGGTGGGGTTGGGAGAGAAAAGGTTTATGTGATCAATCCACTTAAAAATGCTAATGCCTTCGCTTTCTCTCCCAAGATGTAAAACTCGAAAGTCAATCAGGAGGCCGGAGAAATTCTTACGAACATTCAGAAAAACTCGATTTTAATCCGGTTAAAAATCATCAGTGTCATTATCATCATCATCATCACCATCATAAGTATAATAGTAATAAATAATAGTAACTAGTAACAACAATAAAAAGGAAATCAGCGGAAAGTCAGGAAAAATGTAAAAAAAAAATTGAAATAACTTACTGTAGCTGAAGATCAAAAAAATCTCACTGTAAAAAAACAAAAATAAAAATAGCCCAGATTAGAAAAACGGGAGGTGCAAAAATGTCAAGTCAGTAAAGTTCATTTCTTTTCTCTTTCCAAAAGCAGTTTCCACAAAAACCGCAAGGATAAAGCTCTCAGTAGCAGACAAGCAAAGCCCTTTCACATCAATCAATCAATCTTAAAAATACACGAGGGAAGTAGAGAGGTCAGTTTATAAGAGGCTAAAAGGCTCCTCCTCCTCTAACCCAACTGCTGCAGAAAAAAATAGAAATTTTAAAAATTACATCTTAAATCCAGGTCCCGTTTTTGGAAACAATTAAAAAAAAAACACCTGTATATTTGCCATAGTGCACACCAAGTTGCATCATTATATTTAAAATGTCTTTATAAAATCAGTTTTGGAATGGGAATGTGTGTGTTCTGGAAGGGTAGGGAAGGGAAGTTAAAAATCAAAGCTGAGCTCCAGTGAGTAGGGATGGGGTTCGCCTTGCTGCCCTGTGAAAGGAGAAGGGACAGATTGAGTCAGAGTTCCTCAGAAATGCTGTGCCCTAAACCCCCAAGACAGAAGTATCTGTCTTTTGCGTTTAGCACATTTTGGTAAAGCGTAACATACTGGAATGGGAGTAGCCTATGTAGAATCATCACCTCTACCAGTGTGTCACCACAATTTGACAGGAATAGAGGACTAAAATTAACTACATGCACCTTAGTATACCCTTAAGGGTCTCAAGGTCTACATTCAAATATAATCAGTTTGGGCAAAGAAAATACAGAAAAACCAGGCCAACAGATGAAGATGTGAGCAAATGTCAGATTAGGAAAGTAAGCAGATTCATGGGTTTTTAATTTACAGACTGAAAGTGAATGATCTACCATTTAGACAAACACTAAGATGACTCATCTACTCTCAAAATCAGTGTGATCCAATTTCAAGACCTATTAGGTATTATAGTAAAGGGAAAAGATGTTTTAACTAAGGAGCACACCATTCCACCTTACTGACATAATGAAAAAAGAGATGAAGGAAAAAAGATTATAATTGAATGTCATAAAACAGGTGAAAAAATTGGTATTTATAGAATTTGTTTCTGTGGTCCACTGTCTGCCAATTAATTCCAAGAAAAATACACAACAAACTACTTGTTTCATCAGCTAAACTAAGAATTGCAAGCAGATTGTAGCTCATTGTGCAAAGAAATAACTGGCTGAATTCACATTTCAATATTCAGCTTTGGGTTTTTTTCTTTACAAATTTGGTAAACTAAAAATTTTAAACAGCTTTTAAAATCTGTCACTTGGGCGGTGCCTGTGGCTCAAAGGAGTAGGGCGCCAGCCCCATATGCCAGAGATGGTGGGTTCAAACCCAGCCCTGGTCAAAAACTGCAAAAAAAAAAAAAAAA